AGGGGGGGCCCCCCCCCCCCCCCCCCCCACCCCCCACCCATCCGATACACCCCATGGCCCCATCGCTGGGCGATGGTGCCCATACACCCCACACCCACCCAACACCCACCTTGTCCCATGCACACCCCAGAGCCCTAGGTGTACCCCATGACCACATCACTGGGGGACAGCCCCACAGAGAACCCATGGCCCAGCACACGCACCCATGGCCCCATAGCTGAGATTCAGCCCCACACCCCCCACCACCACAGGCCCCATCACCAGGTGACAGCCCTACGAACACCCCACAGCCCCACTGCCAGGGGTTGGCCCCCTGCACAGCCCATAGCCCCATTGCTGGGGGACAGCCCCATGACACCCAACAACCCCATTGCTGGGGGTCAGCTCTCCCTACACCCTATAGCTGGGGATGAATCCCATGTACACCCCATGGCTCCATTGCTGGGGGACAGCCCCACACATACTCCACAGCACTCGCACAGCCCACAGGGAAGGGTCCCACACCGCTCACATATCCGGGGGGTGGGGGAGGTGTTGCACAGCATTAGCTGAAAGGAGCCCTGAAGGAGGAGGAGAAAGAAAGGGCAGGGACTTCGAGCAATTTCGCTGAAACCCGTTGGGGTGTCTCCACATACCCTCTCCCACCTGGTGTCCATCCCTGGGGTGCAGGAGCATGGCCACACCTGCCTTCCCCGCCTCAGTGAAACCCCACGTGGGCTCGGCGAGCCCAAGCCCTCCCTCTGCGCCCCATTCCACCCCACAGCTGCACTTTGACGGCCTTGCTCAAGCCGCACAAGTCCCTCAGACACTCCAATAGTTGGTGCTAAATGTGTCTTTCCTCCTGCTGGCTCACCCCAACAGCCCTGGGGGCATCAAGCCTCCCACCGTTACCAGCCTCATCCTTGTGGCAGTATTTTACGGGGTGCAGAGGATGAGAATGCGAATGCCTCCGAGATCCAGGGCAGTTCCCACTGCACCCCTTCCCGTGAGAGGTGGGCAGCGGGGCAGACAGCATCATCACCCCCTCACTGCCTGCCAGGCTCTGGGGGCGGAATGGAAATATCCCTGCTCTACGGCTACTTCCCTTGTACGGAATTGCTCTTGCTGGTTCTCATCCTGTGTTGTCACAATCGCTTCCCCCTCCCTCTGCAAGCAGGCCTGGCATTTCCGGAAAACCGGGGAAAGACGTTGTTTGAGAGCCGTCCCCTCCCTCTGCCCCCCCTCAGCACAGGGGCAGCCCCCAAGCTGGAATGCCCCTTTGCATTCTTCACTATACTTCCTATATATTCTTCACTATATATTAAAAAAAAGCAAGCGTAGCACTCTAGAAGAGAGGAGAGATGAACATGTAAAAAATTATATATATTTTTATATATATGATTCATATCTATTTACAACATGGCTGGGACAGCAGAACATCCAAGGAGGTTGCACAGCCACTGCCAGCACCGCCCTGGCCAGGTCAAACAGGGTCTGGAAAGGTGACAGAGACCGAAGCACGGACCCATGGCGACCAGCGCG